AACCATTCTATGATTCTATGAACTTGAGTCAACTATGCTGATACAATTAATTAGCCATGCCTAGCATGTGCCTGGGGTTCACCGGGAGTACAAGTGTTAAAGAGCAAGCCCATTTTAACTGCTACAACATGACATTGTCATTAAACAAGAAAATAAGGGGGTTTGTTTGTTTTGGTTTTTTTTTTATGATGTTAAGATCTCCCAATGCTTCTGGCTATGAGTATGTCTTATGAAAACCTACTTTTAACATTTATGCTAACTCCAATTCTATTGACCTGAACTGTGTTTTGTTTGGTTTTTGTATTAATGAGCCTGACAATGTTTGTGAAGCAAATATTACATATTAATGCCTTCAGGTTATCTGAGAGGCAGACCGCATATTGGTGAAACAGGAGAAAAAGAGCATGGAGTAATGGAATGTCACAGGAACGCTTTATTTTCTCTCCCTTAATGTGGCTAATCAGGTGTTTCTTTGTCATGTAATTTTAGTAAAATATCTTGGAGCAAGTTAGCGGAAGGGTATCCCTGTTATCTTGTTTATCCTGTGCATTTTTCAAGAGGGTTTACATCTGCACAGCAACATTGTGTTTTCTCACTGAACATGAAAAATGATCCAAAGCTGATAAAAAAATCCATTCTTCCTTATCCAAAATGCATACTTTCTTATCACAAGCAATAGGAAGGCAAACATCTTTGTCGATACCCATTCAGAAACAGGAGAACTTCACTGCATTCTTCAGTTTTAAATATTTTCGTGGTTTATTGCTTTGTATTTTATTTTGGAGTTTGTACTCGATGTAGTTTTTCAAGAAGGGTAAGAAAATGCACTTCTATCCTGCAAAACCGGAAGAACCTGGCACAGAGAAAGGCTATAGCTTTTCAGAGTTCAAGGTAAAACGAGGGGTAGAGAGGTGCCAAATTAGGTTTTTAATCTAATGGGCAATTTTTGACCCATATAATGAGCAAATTACTCTGTGTTAATTCTGTGTGTTACCTTGAGGGCAATACTTCTCCTTAACAGAAAGCTAATACCATAATCAATGAAATGGCAATATTAATTGCTCATATACAAATAAGACACAGAGCAAATAAATAAAACATTCATCTCTGGGCTGTTTGTTTGTTTGCTTTGGACTGGGGGGCTTTATTTTTAAATAAATCGGAGGTTTCTGCTTGTAATGGCATAGCAAGTCTGCCTCAGTTTAAGAAGGGCCACCTTAAAGGTTGGGCGGGTTTCATTTGCAGCTGGCTGGCTTTATGGTTTCTTTACCGAAAGTGCTGTCTAGAGCTGTAATTGCTGGTATGATTTTTGAAAAATTAGGTTGTTGCTGGAGTAAAATAAGGACTAAGCTATCACTGTGTGGGTAATCTTTAGTATTGCTTTTCTTACAAAAGTGTCACAAGTTTTCTGTTTTCACAGGACAGATGTTCTGAAATTCTTTGAGTTTGAGGCAAGTTTTTTTGGGTGGACACTTCTTACTGGAATGAAACCTTGAAGTATTGAATTTACCTGCAACTGCTATTGCAGATTCTCATGGTGCATCACACACAACTTGGCCAGAGACAAATCTGCATTGCATTGTGGGCAGTGTCCTGCAGGGCATTTCAGCAATAAAAAGAAAGTAGAATTGAAATGCCAACAGGAAGACAGACATCTTATTTTGCTGTTGCACTGATTTGAAAAACAGCTTTGGGTCAGTTCCGCAGGGGGTAATATTCTGCTTGAGCTGAAAAGTTTTAGAATGACTTATTTTCCCAGTAGAAAACTGAATTATTTGGCAGCACTCTAGCACTCTTGCCTACAGGAACTCTTTTTTCAGAAGCTACATTATTTTCATTGGGAAATCATTCTGGATTTAGTGTTTTTGTACAAGTCACAGAGCTGGTAACTGATAACTGCTTTTAGTTTTTTTTTGACTATTGGCCTTACAGTACTCAAAACGAAAGATACTGTGTGGTACAACTGTGTGATTCTCAAGTTTTCCAAAGCCTCCAAACCAGGGTCAGTGCTCATCTCAGAGACAGCAGGGGCTGCTCCCAACAGAGGGTTTTTTTTTAACCTTAGGGAAAATCATTGAGTCTTATTTCTCTCCTGTGCTGAGCCTGGGCAGTGCACGCGCTAGCACCAAGCCAGGCACACTGGCAGAAGGGTGTGTCCTAGACATGTCTGTGAGCAGGGGGTGTGTGGTGCCTGTGTAGTAGCCCCCAGTGGGGGATCTCCACCACCTAAATAGTATTAGAGCCACAGTGATCCCAAATTGCGTTAATCTGGTTGTCTTTTAGTTAAAATAGCGTTGTGGCAGTCTTGTATGCAAAAAGCTTTAAAAGTATCTGTTGTCAGCTTTTGTGTTATGGGGAGCAGCAACAGTAAACCCACTTCTTCTATTTTTTTAGATGACTTCCACTTACCTCTTGATGTTTTACCAGCTGTGACAGAGGCCCTTGACTCCAAGACGAAAGTGGAAGATTTGCACAAGGAGAGCAGACCTTTCCGCTACTGTGAAAAAAAAACCATGGACCTGTCAGACAGTGACCGTCCTGTCAGCTTCAGCTCCACTTCTTCCTCTGCTTCCTCCAGGGACAGCCACTGCTCCTTTGGAAGCAGAATGACCTTGGTTTCCAACAGCCACTTGGGCTTGTTCAACCAGGATAAAGAAACAGGTGCCATCAAGCTAGAACTGGTCCCAGCCAGCCGATTTTCCAGCCACAAGCCACGCAAAAACTCCCCTGTGGAGCAAGAGGATCCTGAGGAAAGCCTTGAAAAAAGGCTAAGCATGCCAAGGAAAGCAGAACCAAAAGGAGCGAGCAAAAACTGTGCAATGTCCCTGGTTACAGAGCCCACCAGTCCCAAGCTCCTCTATGTGGACAGAGTCGTCCAAGAGATCCTGGAAACGGAGAGGATGTACGTGCAGGATCTAAAAAGCATTGTGAAGGTAGGAGTCTTGGTTAGGATGGTGTTACTATACCATAATGCTATTTTTCACATTGATTTCATAGCAGGACAGATGGACCTGACAATAGAAGTGGCATTTGCTGGTCTTTATAAATCAGTGTAACATCATGGTTCTTGTGTGTTTCTAGTTTTTATTTTATTAGATAAATCTAAGCTGTTGCTATGTGTTCATGAAGACATAACAGAAAAAAAAACTCTAAAATTGACAGCAGTAGTGAACAAAGAGTAGTAAACTCATTAAAGTTTGTCTACCAAAAAAAAGTACAATGTTCTGTTTCCTAGAATGTATACCAAGAAGCAAACAGCAGACAGCTTGTTTGCCCCTTTAAATGCTTTATCTGGGGTCTCAGTTGTTGATTCTCCACCACCCCCTCCCCAAATCCTAGTCCTGCAAGTTTTTTCCTGCCTTTTTCTCTCTCACTTTCATGCAGCCCACAGCTGCACTCTGTCCCTTCCATGTCCATGGCCTGTAGTATTGAATATGGCATGTGTATTTGCTGGAAAACCCTATTGTTTGGCTGTTATGAAGGAATTATGTTTTCTTTAATACTAATTCTGAATGGGTGGTGCTAATAAATGTTACACCCATTAATGGTAATGGTGTATGTAACATTTATTAGCACCAGTGAAGTGTTTGTCCAATCCCCAGATGAACAGTATCTTTCATTTCTCCTTTCTAGTATAGGGGAAAATATGAATGAGTCCTTCCTTATATTGTCCTTCTCGCTCCATGTGCTTGTAACTGTGCCATCACTCATGTTCTTTCGTGTTTTTGAAGATGACAATTAAGTCCCTTGATTAGTGTTTGCAGTCTGTGTACTTGGCCTGTGTGTGTATGACCATTTCTTGGGAGGTGCATGTTTAATGCACTGTTTATAGAATATATAGCTTTAGGTAGCTGTAGGAGGTCATCTGCAAGAAGAAATATCAGTCAGCTGGAGACACTCTCCCCATCTGCAGTTCCAGCCTGCTTGGTGGTCCAAGGAATGAGTGGGAAAAAACGCTAAGGCTTTGGTAACACAAATGCACATCATGGTTAAACACCCCCACCCCCCCGGAGTTCTCACAAAGAAGGCTTTTTCTGCAAGACTTCATTGGTTTCTGTAGCTGCTGCTGTTTCTCTGCATTCAACGGTTTTCCAAGTTTCATTTTGGAGTGTTTAAGGTTCTCCTATGCTGCAGAAGCAAGCCAGTTTCTGTGCATAGTCACCGTTCGCTAGGCATAACATCCATGGTTTTGGAAACCTTACCTCTCAGTCATCTTCCTATGCAGCAAACTATACAGATTGAGAAACTGGAAGCTTTCATTAAAATCTTGAAATAGATTTTCCATTCACAAGTAGGAAGGCAAACAAATGCTTGCTGGAAATATTTTAAGCATCACTACAGCAGATGTAGAGTAAATATGGCAAATGCTCTTGAAGTTATGAAATAACTGGAGGCATTTACCTGTGAAACACCCAGGTGTATTTCCTACAGCAGCTAGTAAATAGTGAATCTTGAAAGCTTTGTGTGGCACTAGACAGCCTGTTTGAGAGATGGATTGGCTGGCAGTGGGACTTTTCTTAGGTAGGTGTTAGCGATCTGAGGGCTTCAGAGGAGCTCCTTCCCAAATGGTGGTGACAGTGGGGAACCCGTGACACCAGGCTGGGTGTGGTCTTTGCTTGGTCTTAGGGGAGGGAGGTGTGACTGGAAACATGTTACAGAGGAGCCCATTTTATATGTTTCTCAGGATTCTTTTCTTCACAAGTTACTTTAGCAACGCTGCCGTGATTTACCCCTAACCAAGGGTGGTGGTTGTGGGAAGGATGGGAAGACTCCTCAGACATCTGCAGGAGTGTCGCAGCCTTACAGGATTTGATCATCCGGGCCTTGGTGGCTTGAGGCCATTTAGTTTGGCAGCCAGCTGGCTGGTGCTGAGCCAAAGTAAGATGAAGGGAAGCAGCTTGATCTGTCCTATTTTCCAGATAAGCATGGGTCAAATTTTGGCAACAGGTTAGGAAATGGGATGAGGATGGGAAAAGGGGATTTGGGGAAGGGTCAAAGGACAACTGCTGCCCAACAAGTGGGTGGGAACTGAAGAGATATGTGAAGGTGGGAGCTGGTGGAGGAAAGCATAAGCCAATGAACCAGTGCTAAGTAGAGAGAGAAAATCATTAAAGGGAAAACAATATGAGGAAATGACAGAAAACCCAGGAAGTGGAAAGTTGAGGGGAGTATGAAATTGGTTGGAATTGGAGCTCTCTAGCGAGTTTTGCAGCTGTCTGCAACACAGCAGCTTATATACACAGACTAAAAATAGTAAGAAAGTTTTTTTTTTTGTTTTGGGATGGGTTGGGCTTTTTTTGCCAGGGGGAGGGAGGAAGAGAAGCAGGGCAACCCAGGCACAAAGAGCTAAAAGCTGAAGAGATGTCAGACTGAAAATGGCGTAAGAACAAAAAGGGAGAAATGAGTAGGTACTATTTTAATCACCTTCTACCCCCAGCTGAGAACTGTTGGTACAGGTCTAGTCTTTTTGTCCCCTGCTGATCCTACCTTCTCTGTAGACAATGGAAACATAGTGAAAAATAATGTGTTCTTACTGTTGTTTCCAGCACTTTGAAAAGGGTTCTAGAGCTAGAACTGGGAGTGTGTCAAAACTCATGTCCGTTAATCCAGTCTCTACATTTCTGGTGTAAAGCCAAGTATGTTTGCCTGTGATGCACAGTCAAGCTTTTTTTGGGTTTGTTTGTTTTTAGTTTTTTGGGGGGGCTGGGGGGTGGGGTGTTTTTGTTTGGTTGTTTTGGGTTTTTTTTTAATACTTGCACATTCTTTCCTGTCATCCAGAACATTAATGAATTTCTTAAACAGGACTGGACCCAGTATTAACCCCTGGGGTATGGCGCTAGTTACTGGCCTCCAACTAGATTTTGTGCCTTGATCACCACCCTCAGGCCCTGCCCGTTCAGCCAGTTTTTAGTCAACCTCACTCTCTACTTACCCAACTCATACTTCATCAACTTGTCTATGAAGATCTTTTGAGAGTGTCAAAAGGCTTTCTGAAGTCAAGGTAGACAACATCCACTGCTCTCCACTCATCTACCAAGCCAGTCATTTCGTTGTAGAAGGTTATCAGGGTGGTCAGCTTCCCCTTGGTGAATCCATGCTGACTGTTCTTGATTACCTTCTTGCCCTTCATGTGCCTGGAACTGGTTTCTAAAATTAGTTGTACACAAATGTGAAGAACATACACAGCTGTACACAAATGACCCGTTAACATGGATGGTGTGAAACTGCATGTAGGATCCTGCTATTATTCATCTTATCCAAAGTCAGCTCATTAAGAGTTACCTAGCATAGTATTTTGGGCAGTGTCCTTTCAGCCTATGTTATCCTTAGAACATGTAGACTCATCCTGCTTGACATAAGACTATGGAATGAATGGGGGAAAATAGACGTTCACCCTTCTTGATGCCTGTATTGACCTAATGCTGTTAGGTCATTAATAAGTAAATAAATAAAAATAAACTAAAAAGGCTTATCTTCTATTCGGTTTTGAGTATCTGGATGGTCTGCGTTCTTAACGGTGCCAAAATGCTAGACAAATGTAGAAATCGATTTCATGGAACATGGCTGATGTGATTGATCTTTAACTCATACTGTAGACTGAAGTTCTCCACCTTTCTTTTAAGTTGCTGATGAGAAGTATTTCATGGGCTTAGGATGAGTGAGAAGAGGCCATTCAGGCACTATTTGGCTCCCTTTGCCCCAGGATATGCTTTAAAAACAACTGCTTTTTTAACCAGTACAGCCATTTTGTCTGTGACCCAAAAGAACAGCTGAATTATGATTATTTTGAGGAATGCTGCTGTGATTCTTGCACAGGCAAGCATTGTAACAGAGTGAACCTCTCCATTGTTTGGTATGCTTTATCAGAGGATCTGTTAACTATAATTAAAATTTGAATTAGTACAGCTTAAAGCGTGTTTTGGGCAAGTTTGTGATGAGAAATCGGATACCTCTGCTTCCTGTGTGTGTCATGCTGACAGGTGTACTGGCCAGGGCAGAACCTGCAGACCTCCTCTTCAGCCTGACTTTTTCAAGTAGTAATTTAGTTAGAATGGGCATAAGCCTCAATTAGAGTAATTTACTGAAGTAACATTTTTTTTTCCCCTTTAACAAAATGCTGTCCCTGAGCTTATTATAAAAATATGATCTGCTCTTGCAGTTCATAAAAGTCAGAAGCCCATATTCATAATTTGTATAAATGCTTGTAACTGTAGAAAAAAAAAATCCACATTTGGGTTTTATCCTTGCAAAATGAAGGAATAATGCAAATGCACTGTTATAGTGCATGCATCTGTTATGTTACATTAAATACACTTTCTCAGTGATATCAGCCCATTGAGAACATCTAGATCCACTTCATGAACGTCAGACGTTTGATATAAGAATGCCTATCAGTAAAATGTTGGCATCTCTACAGTAACTAGAGGGGAGTGAAGCATGCATTGTCAGTGCATTATATCACAAATATTTGATGCAAACAGAGGTTGAGCTTCAGAAAACTTCAACTCCATCTGAAATCTGTCTTCTTTTATGTGAAGTCTCTACCCTTTCACTCCAAAAATGACATTTTTTAGAATATCCCTACTGCACTAGTTGAAGTCTCTCTCCTATCTCCTCTCCAGATATTTTGTCCTCCACTGCTCCTTTTTTATATTTGACTACTCATTCAAGCCTTTTTACCTAGAAAGTCCCATTCTCCTCTACACAGTCTTCTGCCTAAGGTCTCCCCACCCGTCTGTTTTAAGTCTTCTCTTGGTAAATCCTATCCTTATCTCTTCTCAGTCCATATTGTCTCATTTCCTCATGTGATTTATCAGTTTTTAGTCTTTCTCTCTCTATTTTCGTACTCATAATGTCTGCTGACTCCAGATCTCTTTCCATAGTTCTCTTGGTGGGTCTGAAGACACTTTTTTATGTAACTCATCACAGTCTT